ATCATTACACAAATGTGCAAAGTAACTAAAGGTATTAATTAAATGTAGTGGAGTAAAAGTACACAGTTTACCTCTCAATTTAAGTGGAGTATAAGTACAAAACTAGCAAATGGAAATACTCAAGTAAAGACTCCCTCCGAATTGTACTTAGATACAGTATTTGAGTAAATCTACTGAGTTACTTTACATCACTGGGGATTTTTCACGGTGCACCTTTTAATTAGAAGCAGTGGACTTGAATGACCCCCCATGTGTGTTCTAATAGAAGGTGATAAACTGCCCCGTTGAAGAACATCTAGAACCTTGTCAGTTGGCCCAGAATCAGTGTCAGATGAAACGTTTAAACTCCAACAGCTCCAACGGTTCGGGAACTCGAGACGGTTCTGAAGAAGAGAGTCATGTTGTGTAATCCAGGTACAGTTTACATAATGTAATATTTCTTATTGTTGTATCATGATACACAAATCAGCATATCAATATTGAAATTATTTATGCAAACGTACATTTTCGGTAATGTGCTGCAATCATTTCTTACAGATCGGTTACTTGGCGAGCTAACGTTAACGTTCACATACAATAAGTAACGTTACCAATAACGTTACCGCTAAAGTTAGCACTTGGAGGAACTTAACTGACGTTAAAGTTAACAATTTACAGCTTTTAAACTGTTTTAAGTTTAGCTCCATCGTTGACATTTGCTAGAAGTCAATATTTTTTTAAATATAAATACTCCCAAGTGTGAAATATTAGCTAGCGTTAGCTCATTACTTTCCTTCATTACTTAACTTAGATTACTTAACGGGTAGTTAAAGTGGGTTATTATCTAACGTTAACATTAACGAAAAGTGTCACACCCCGTAAATTAACGGTAATGGTATGTCAATTGTATTAGATTAGTCTATGACATTTATTTACCGGTTACACGCTTACTTGGCTAGCTAAAACGAACCATAACGGAAAGTAACTGATGACGGTTTGCCTGATACACGCCCCTTTGTTTAATGTTTACGTGCATACAAACATACTCAATAGCAATTGTTACTCGATGTAGGAGCCATGCCTGAGTTCATTATTTCCGTTATTGCTGTTATTTTAGATTACTATTATTACTGTTATTTAGTTTGTATTTGTGTCTGTTGTGATATGTACTTTTGATTTTGCCTAATACAATTTTGTGCAAAAAAGGAAAGCTATGTGTTCACTAACTTTTTCTCTGTTTCCAATTCTTCAGACAACATCATGGACTTTAGGGATAGGTCACTCCCTGACGGGATCAACCCCATGAACTTTCCTGCCAAACTATGGCGTTTGGTGAACAACCCGCTAAATGAAGGCATCTGCTGGGACATTCACGGCGAAGTCATCCTCATTGATCAACAACTCTTTCAGCAACAGATCCTGTCTCCCAGAGCCAACACCTCACCTGACTCCTTCAAAACAACCAACTTCTCAAGCTTTGTCCGTCAGCTCAATCTGTATGGCTTCAAGAAAGTCGATCAACCTATTAAACAGGCTGGATACATTGCAGGATATCATCAATTTATAAACCCAAACTTCAAGCGAGACAAGCCTGCATTTGTTGAAAATCTGAGGAGACTGACCGCCGAGAACAAGGCCAAGATAAAAGCTGGTGTGGAAGTGAAAGCTCGTCCCCTGAGTCGATTCCTTCGGTTCAGTGGGGGAGGTGATTGCATGGATCACGACTTGAAAAGAGGCAAGTGTTATGCATGACTTCTCATGGCTGTCCTATGGTGGTGTGTACTGTAACATCTTACTATTTCTTAAACCTGTCATGGGCTGGAATGGGTCCGTTCTAGCTTTATTACTTCCAACCGAACCAAATGTTTACAATTGCAATTTTTACAAGTGCTTTACAGTTCAAATATGGCTGTTTAACGGCTTGCCATGCTTTGCTTGCCTCTAGATTCTGCAGGAAGTTCTTTGCTGACTAGCCATAGCCCCCGACATCAGGAGTCCCAACATCCTTATCTTCCAAAAAAAGCTCAGGCCATGACATCGCACAATGGAACCCCAGTTCCCCCACGATTCCTGATAAGGGGTCATGGTGCGGCTCTTTCGCCGATGGTCTTTGCTGCAGACAAAGGGATACCAGTCTCCTTAAGCCACCACTACCCTGGACTCACCACAGGCTCCAATCATATGCACCTTCAGCAGAGTTTACTCGCCCGTGCAAACTCTGCAAATCCCAATTTTCCTTTTTCTGGTTCTCATGCACAATATCAGCCGGGCTACTTGGCTGCAGGTGAGCACCAATGAACATGTTGGCAGTATGGGTGAAAGAGTCCAAAACCACACTGCTTGCATCATTTTAGTGACAGACCTTTATTTGACATACAATGTAATACAAATGTACTGTCATTTAGTTACAAAGATTAATTGACATTTCGGGTAACCTATTATGTACTTTTTGTAAATATATAAAGTAAAAATGGTCTGATTCCAGCCTCTTAAATATGAATATTTTGGTTGTTTTACTCCGTTATGGCAGTAAAAGGAAGACCTTTGAGTTGTAGACAAGACATTTAGTTTGGGTAACACTTCTTGACATTTTTCACAATTTCTGACATTTCAGAGACACTCAAAATAATTCTTAGCTGGAGCTATTATTAAAATGTACTAATCTCTGTGTTGAATGAATAATGATTTGTGAGAGTTTTAACTTCAAATCCTGCATTTTATAATAAAAAAACATTTGTTTTTATTTTTTCAAGCCTACCAGTGCTGCCATCCGAGCCTTATGGCTTCCCATATGGCAGCTGGTGGACTTCAGCCAGTGCCCCTCTCTCCCCACAGATATTACCAGGTAGGGGAATTGAAGTGTGCTCCATGAGTCATGTTATGAGTGCCTCAAAATAAATCCGTTTTTGGTTTAGGAAGATGGAGTATGTTGGACATTCACTGTTACTAATCTTTTTATTTTTCTGTTGAAGGCAAGCTATCCTGTGAACATGTTTCCATATTCGGACCCCCACCAGGACTCAAAGAGCAAGGAACACCATGAGTTGAACAAATGTGACATCAACTTGGACACAATCTTCCAGATTGCCGATGAGGTGATGCAAACTCCACCCAGTAGAGCTGGCCTGGTTAGAGTTGTGATCCCAGAGAAGCCGGGCCCTGTGTTAGTGCCGGTCTCTAACACCAGCATGATGAGTGACAACCTGACCAGCCCCATGAAAGCTAGCCCTTTGAGCCCTGGACCCGTCATAATGGCTGTGTCAGCCAAGAGTGCTCCGATTCCTTACAAACAAGACGAGAAGTCTGTGATTTCAGTACCTGAGAAAATGCCTGAATCTGACATATTTGAGGTAAGCCTCTACATTGTACGTCTCCTTAAGGCTTTACTTTTCTAAAATCAAAAGACTTTGCTAGGACAGATGAGGCCTTTCTATTCATCCATGATGTGTATTTTTACATTTTGATGATGTATTTATAGGAACATTTGCAGCAGCTTAGCAGAAGCCATGTAAATGATGTGGTTTTCTCTCTGCCCCTCACGTAACCGTTGATGATGCAAAGGACACTGAGCTTATAGATGTCGAGGAAAGGTCGCCTCTAAAGGAAACCAGTCAGGCCAACAATGCCAACTGCAGCAAGGATACAGGAAGCACACCATATCTTTAGGTAAGCTGTTATTGAACATTAAGATAGCACTTTCAGATGAAAACGGGTAGAAGAAAAGAAAGTTCACATGTGAGTCGTTGCAACATGTTTACTAACAGTTTGCCTTCTTTTCCTTTTAGATCTCAACTTGTTGATTTGATTTGAATGTGACAGAGAGTCTTGATTCATTACAGTATTTTATTATCTTACATTTTAACAACTTCATCTCCATTTCAATGATTTTTTGTTGTGGAAAGGTTTGTTGATGAGTTGAAATGTTAATCTTATTTACATTATTTTGCAAAATGTGTAATATGTCTTACATTTGTGTGTATTTTCCTTTAGTGTTTTTACTAATTGCTAGTGATACATTTAAAAGAAATGTAGAAAGTAAGGTTTAACCTCTTTAAAACGGTGTTGTTTCAAATGTAACTGCCTTCTGATGTTTTCAATTTATTTTATTTTATTTTATTTATACAGAATTGCTGAAGTAAGGCAAACTCAGCCTCACCTATGTTTGACTTACTGTTGTTAATATCGTAACTGCTAGTGTTTGTCATAGCAAGTTACTGCTGTAATGGTGCGAAGAGATGTAATGTTTTTTAATGAAAATATATATTTTAATCTACTATTGATTGTTTGCTTTGTGATGGTGACAAGTTGGTGTTTGCAAATCCTTCCTTTATTAATTATTGAATGCACCCCTTTTCCAGTGTTTTTAAAATGTGTATCTGGCATGTTTCTAAAGGCACGTTGCAAAAGCTTTTTAAATAAAATGAAATATACTTCTGATAATTAAGCTATAGTTTTTAATGTGTACAGTATGTCATGGTTTCCTGTTGACGCTGCAGCTGGTTATGTAGATATGTGTGTGTACCATGGTGTGTACACTAGAGGTAGCCACTGACTCGTGTTTGACAGGGCCGCTCATGATTGGCTGCTCCGCCCTCAGCCTCCAATGCGGCATTTAAGTGCTACTCGGAAGCTCCTATTGCATTATTTTGTAAGGTATTTATTAATTCTGTAACGTGTAAGTGTTTGACGGTTTTAACCAAGTTTGTAACACAGGTATTTTTTCATAGCTGTTTATAATCAAATACTGTAATTTGACACCACATTGTGTGAAAATAGGAGTTAAACACAAGTGGTAACTTTTACTTAGAATGGTGCCTCATAACATCATTAATTTAAATGCAACACTTGTTAACTAAGTTTATCTTTCGTCAAAACAAATCCGGTGACAAAAGTCCATCCTCCCGCAAACACATCATGATTGGTCATGTTTCTTCCAAATCTAAAATGTCTGACGGCACGTGAAGGCAGCAGCACAGAGAGCAGGTAGAGAGTGTCAATGAGATCCCAGGGGAGCGAGAGACAGTCCGGGAGGTAGACTTTTGGGACGGTGTCATAACTGTACACGGTGTCTCTCCACTTTATCAACTTTCAATGGAGACCACTAGGAGTTTGGACCACTTTTATTCCGTACTTTTGTAGTATTTCTTTCCTATGCTCGTTGATGATTTTGATAAACAATTCATTTTCTCTCGTTCTCAGGAGGATCGTATCTAATTTCTTACAGTGCACTGAACTCAGGGGAATGCCTGTGTGTTTTCCTTTTTACAGCGTTTATGAACACCGACTGTAGAAAGTAAGTTAATGTGTCTGTTAGAGGAGTCGCTTTGGTTTCGGACCCAGTATATAACTACCAAGCTATAAGCGAAGTAAGTCAACGGTCCATTTGCTTTGGTTAATAATTAGATAGAGCGGTGTTCTGAATTTAACAACTTCTTTGAGGGTTATTTTTTCGCAACTCCTCGGTTGTAAAGAATATTACTCAACTTTTTGGCACTGCTTTATCTGTCAACATGCCTTATAACTTTCCGGCGGCAACCTGTAACCCAGCCTTTGAAGTTCAAGTCGTCGCTTTTCTGCGTTTTTTGTGGAATTATCCAGAAATATCTGCGCCCACAGGATGTGCTTTATCTTCTCACGCTGTTTGGAAACTCACACACTGTGACTGTAAGGTACAGTGACTCGTGTACACTGTAATATTAATAAGAGTTTGGATACAGATGAATATTGATACAGTGTTCACAGGACCTGCCGTTCTTTGGGGAGAGGATACTACAGCTGAACTATAACGCAAACACGTTACAAAAGAGGATACTTGTTGTGTATCTGGTGAAGCTTAGGCTGCTGGACAACTACTGCACACTTCAAGCTCTAACACGACACAGCGTGTCTTCATGGTGCCTTTGAGCATGCAGTGTTTCGCCACCCACATTAATGACACTGGATAAAAGTTCCAAGCTCAAGCTCATTGTAACTCGGAAGATATTCTTTGTTCCACGTGGGTACTGCTTTCTATAACGTCTCGAGTTTGAATATTAACTCTGGTGCTGAATGGAAGTTTTAGGACATTCACGCATGAGTTATGATGGCAGTCCTCCAGCACTAAACGTTTGGTTTGTATCTGTTTAGTCGTCGACGCGGAGAGAAGAAGTGGGGGACGTATACATATACATTTTCTCCGTTTGTCTACCCGCGGCGCTTGCCAGATTTGAAGGCCACCATGTGCGGCCGGGCACCGCCGCTACAGCCGAGGCCATGACCGTCCCCCAGCGGCGCCTGGCCGGGCTCTGGCCGTGGCTGCTCATGGCGGCCCTGCAGGTGGTGCTGGGCCAGCCGGGCCTGGAGTCCGAGCGGCAGGTCCAGCGAGCGGTCATCAAGGTGGCACTGCTGAACCAAGAGTCGACGGGGAAGCCCATCACTCTGCAAGGGGTGTTCGTGCAAGGAAGTGCCGGCAGCGCGGAGGGAAAACTAATGCAGGTAACGTGTAATAAAGCACTCAATGTATTTCTACTCTCTCATCATGTACCCCCAATCATACTAAAAAGAGGGAATTCAGGGCTGCAGGGTGGGCACCTGTTGTTCAGCCGGGGCCCCACCACTCTAGGCTCCCATGCAATAATGCCCTGAAAGCTCTTAGGAATGTATGCCTTGTATTGCCTTAATTAGGTAGAGAAGTGAGAATATTGATAGACAGCCTTACCACTTGGAATCATTTCTGCTTTAATATACTTTTGCCTGTTGCTCTTACAACCCCTTTTCCCCAGGGGACCCTCAAATAGACATTTGTATTGTAGATGTCCCACTTTTCTAACATCTGAATGTGCAGATAATTTAGAGACAGTATTTATAAACTTGAGTGTTCTCCCATACTGCGGATAAGAACAATCATGCATGAAGTTAAATAGTGCCTGCAGAGTAATAATCTACCATTCAAAGTCCATACATTATAAAAAGTACAATTCATTTGAAAATGAGTTTTTAGGACAGACTGTCGTTCCTTAGTTCATTTCTTCCTCCTGTGCAGTGACCCACATGTTTCTCCAGACTAAATAACTGTTTACACAGCATCCACTGTCTGATCAACCAAATGATGTTAACACCTGTACTGTTCAAAATACTGTAGTGGCCATGGGTTACACGGAACACTGCATCTTTCTGAGAGTTTCCCACTCAGCATGTGATGACAGTACATCTAAATCCCTTGAACAATAGTGATGCAGCACAGGTGTTATTGAGGTAACTTGGTCTTCAATCTATTTTTACTTGTCCTTTCTAAAAACATGGGTGGGGTTGATATTGCCAACCTCTTTATGTGTATCTTTCCAAAGATGAAAGCATTACTTTGCAGTTTCTATTTATGGCATCTATTTCTCCTCCAACATTTTGATAAGAAGGTGTGGTTGAAATCATGTTTAGACTCATGCAAACCTAATTTGAGCAAACATGTTTTTTTACCATTTAGGTTTTTTTAAAAGCATGCCGTTACCTTTGAAATGTAAAGTATGTGCTCTATTCAGCGTGCATATTTAGGATTCAGTAGTGGATTAAGGCTCCCAGGCCTTAAAGCTCTAGCTGTGTCAATTTATTTACCGTCTCCAGAGAAACGGGACGACAGATTTGAGGCACTGTAGGATCTTGTCTCTTCTCACTCAGCAGGCGTGGGAGGTTTTGTGAATGGCAAGCCAGATGCTGCAGTTAGCCATAATTGATAAGGATTGGCTTTTCAACAGAGAAAGTTGTTAGGCACTTGTGTCAAAAGCCATTGCTGTTTTCCTCTCCAGTTAAAACTGATTTGGCTTTTAATGTGTCTGTGTGGGATGTTGACAACATGTTATGGAGGCATATCACAGCGCAGGTGAGATCAAAGACACTCCCTGGGATTTCCAGCGTTCTTTATCTTTCTTCCTCATAAAACCTTGCACAGTTATTATGTAGTGTTCCGCATGTAAATGTGCTGTAGAGGAAATACAGGTGAAGGTATTTCACTTGAGCTTCAGCCACTTATTTTAAGGTACAGTAGCACATGGTTACTTAATCAGTAATGTAGAACTTATAAGAAAAAATATACAAATAAAATAAAGTATGATTGAACTAATCCAGCTGATTTAGACCACTCTTCTGTAAAGGTTCTCCACAAAGAATCATGCAAAAGCACCTATTTAGCTTAAAGTACCATATTGTGGATCTATAAAGTGCATCCGATCGAATGTTGATCTTGGTAAGACATTGACTAATCCACTTAAAGAAATCCTGCTCAAGAAAAAGCAAATGACCATTTACTTGCGAGAAGAGGGGGTAGCCCTATAGTGCTAAATTCAGACTACATGTTTTTCGTTGCCAAGTCTTAATGCTCTGCTGATATGGTCCCTGTCTTGCTTTCTGCTGGTTAAAACGTCTGAACAGTTGCTTATGTCCTCTCTTCTGTTCCCTCAGTCAGACTGTTGGTGTCACTTCTGTCCGAGCAGAGGAAGGTGTAGTTTTGTCAGGGCTGCTCCCACAGTGCACAGAGGTGGTGTTATGCTGCAGGATGCTCTTTGTTGCAGCTCAGGCCTGTTCCAACAGGTCCTCATTGCCTCTGCAGGCTGCTCTACAGTCCCGCTTTATGTCCTTGTCTCCCAGTGGATTGGGAGTGGGGGGGGTGAAAGCTGGAAAGGAGGTTGAGTTCCATTAGATTCTCTGTCTCACTCAGGCTTTGTCCTTTTTATTTGTGTCGTAGTTTGTCCTCTCTCCTCTGTGATTAAACTGTCCTCACTTCATGTATTATCATGACCACAACGCCAACATTCTCTTCTCGTAAGTATAACTCCTGTTTAGGAGGTCAGCCAGTGCATTCTGGGAGTCCCAGAAGATAGCCCAGTCTTACTCTAGGTCATGCCGAAGCTTTCCAATCACTTTACATAAACTACAGTTATTCTTTATCACTTTGGCCACATACACATCTACAACATGTCGCTCCTCTGAGCCTTGAGCTGTTTTATTAGAATGATCAGATTGTGGAGGTTGATTTGGAGAATCTTGTTATCTGGCATTTATCAGCTACACATCCATTTCCTTTAAAAACTGCAAGGCTTTTGTACAAGTGATTAAAAAACATACACTGTAAAAAAGTACAACATAAAACAAGAACTGGATTTATTCCTTTTAGAAATCTTTAGATCCTGTTTAGATTATGTTTGCAAACACATGTGAGGAACACATTTGGAGTGCTTTGGATAGAAGAACATCCCATTTAGTTCCCTTAGTGTATTCAAGTCACAAGACATCTCTCTGATCTATTAAACTGTGATCTCCCTGGAAGTATGCCCTGTCCTCTGAATGAACACGTTCATTGGAACACTGGCTGGGCTCTGGCCAGCGCTATTTGGACAAATACAAGTGGTGAGGAATGTTGACTCTCTCTCCTTTTACTAAAAACAGCTTGCATTATGAGCAGAGGAGCAATGCAATGGCTTCTGGGAGAGCTTTGAACTTGAGCGACTCTCCTTTTTGGAGAGAAGGAGTTTATCCTCCAGTGTGCATTGTGTCCAATCATAAGAGCTCCACCTATTTTCTCTTAATCGTAACTTTCTTTTCTTCCTCACTCTGTGTTTTTTTTGGTCTTTGTGCTTTGAAATGTTGAATGGACCTTTTGAGAGCTCCCTTAAATACATCAGCTATAATTAAGGCAGGGCAGGCAATTGACTGAACACCAGTTAACTCTGCACCACTTCACATTCTTTCGCCTCCCTTCTCAGTGTCCCACAAGGTACTGAATGCCTCCTCGCCTCTCCCCGAGCCCTCCTCTGTCCGAGGACACTATCTGCACGTTCCCCTGGCGGGCCCTCAGCTCGGCAGTTTGGGAACGAGCGATGGGAGGGCGGAGGCGGCGCTGAGGGAGAACATCAAAGTGCGTCCAGTTCCGAACGTGAGCTGGGATGATTAAAAACCGAGACTGTTTACACTGCACTTCCCATATGGGCCCTCTCCTCCCCCTCCCTCTGTATTTCCTGTCCATACTTCCTATCTCCCTGGATGAGATAACAGCCTGTCCAGGTCTCCTCAGGGCTCCTCACTGCTTGACATGTGGGATGCAATGCTGGGCATAGCTTAGCCTTTTCATATGTGGCATACCATGAATATATCTATTCATGAGGTGCCTGGGCCTTTTTTGTTTCATAAAAACCCTTAATACCAACCCTTAAGAACTTCATAGTGTGGCAGTACTCTAGATGAAACGTTGGTATATGAATAATCAGAACGGTATCAGGAAATAGGTTTGACTCCAGATCGAAGAATGATTGGGAAGATTTGACATATCAGCAGGGATGTGGATATGCATTGAAACCTCCAGTTGTTTGCATGCTAATTAATTTTAATTAATTTTTAATTAATTTTCACTGACGTTCAGTTCAAGTCTTTTTTGACACTACAGTAAAAGTAAAAGTAGCATGCCTGCTCTAATATTTGCTGCAAGCCTCAGTTCACATTCACCATATGAGACCCCAACATAAACAGCATTAGAGTCACGCCCCCATGTGTCCCATCTGCCCCTTGGCGACACAGGCAGTTATATAAAGCTATGAATAAAATCGCTATAAGCTCACAATTTCCCCCTGCTTTGCCTCAGCGCCTGTTGAAAAGAACGCTGACTTTTCTGTGATTACCAGCTGTTTGGGGAAATAAAAGAAAGGAAGGATCTTCAGGGACAAATGTAAAGCTAGCATATAACACATGAAACATTTCAGAGCTGTTGATGCAGAGATTATTCTGTGTGAAGACGTGGTTGTGTTTTTGGATTTCCATATGGTCATCAGTTCAGCAGCCTGCTATGGCTTTTCTATCGTCTCCTCCCTCTTAGTGATCCGAGACCCGATCCCATGTTGCCTCTGGCTCTCGCCTTGAACAGACCCCCACGTGTGTCAAACCTATCAGACGAGCCGTGGACTAATGGTTTCTCCTGACAAAGCTGCGGCCTGCAGCACAGGAAGCTGTCCTGTCCTGTCCAGCCTCTTCCACAAGAGATGGCTGTTGAGATGTTTCTTAGGGCACTGGGAAGAAGGGAGAGGCAGGTAGGGGAAACATGGCAAATCTCTTAATCCTGCCGGCCCCCTTCTTTTTAAGTCATTAGACCAGGTCTGGAATTCATGAACGTTATACAACACATTATTTTCTACTTTTTCATAGCTCTCCTCTTGCAAATAACAGGAGAAAGTATCTGCTACTTCAGTATACACTCTGGCACTGGTTCACTCATGCAGTCAGTGCCTTGGTGCAAGAAATTCACATGCGTAGTTCCACGCTTTTTTATGTAGCACACCATGTAGAGCATGCAAACACATGCTAAGTACGTACACACAATGGAGTCTGGTAAAGGCATTACTACTGGACTTGTCCTTGAACCGGCCCACAGACAGGGCGAGTTGGAGAGAAAATAGTCATCTCAGGGCTGATCCAAGCATGGCCGCATGATGTATCGTTTCACGGACATTTCAATGTAC